ATAAACTGGGGGGTGATTAGAAAATGAAGTAAGGTTTGTTTCTTTGTGTTCAGAACCAGATCCAGTTCTTATCAAAGCTAAGCAGGCAATGCCTGACTCCTGTGTAAAAGTAACCACTCCCCTCTGTGTTAAATAAAAACTGCTGGGGAGACAGGCAAGCTTTAGAACTTGCTTCAGCTTCAGAACATGCTTCAGAGCTTGCTTGTTCTCTAGAGTCAAACTCAGCTGATGTCTCCAGTTGTCTGTCTGTTCCGATCTCGAGGTTCTAGGGTTGAGAAAAGACCCCATCAATTTTGGTGCCGTGACCCGGATGTTGATGACCACCACGCCGAGGGACTGAGAAAATGGGCTGAAAATCCTCATGGTACAACAAAAGACCTGAGACCTTGATCTACAGGCCGGCTTAACGTAGGTCTCCTCCGTCCTCCCGGCTTGGAGTCGGACAACATCCGGATGAGATCTAACCAGACTTCACAATGGGGAGTGAGTATAGAATCTTTGGCGACTCTAAAAGATTAAGAGAAAATTAAACAGAGAGGGAAAACCTGCCAGACGTAAGATAATAATAAAAGTTAAATCCAGACAGATGGAGCTTCTGGTCTGACCACAAATAAATAAATAGAATAGAATAAAAATGGGAAACGGACAGTCCACTGACCACCTGAAAGGGGATGTGTGATTCATGTACCAAAAAGATCCAGACAATGTAAAGTTCCTAAAAAAATGGTACAAAAGTACGAGATCACTGGGGACTTATAGAGCGATAAGTAGAAGGGAAAAGTCATGGGCTTGTGACTATAACCTAACTTATGTTACTAGTTTGCAGTGTAACTGCCTTTGTACTTCAATATGCATATTTGTTCATTTAATAAAAAAACGGCCACTTTGACATTTATACCCCATTGTCTTATTTTTAACTATTCAAAAGAGCCCGTCCTTGCACAGTCAAAAAGTAACTAAGTAACTTTTACTCTGACTACATTTGAAATAAGCTACTTTTTACTTTTACTTGAGTACATTTTTAGGCAGGGAATTTTACTTGTAATTGAGTAAAATTTCTTCATGAAAGTAATTATACTTGTACTTAAGTACAACATTTTAGTACTCTTTCCACCTCTGCACATGGTGCTATCAAAAGTATGGGCTTGGGCACGTTCAACACATGTCTTAAGGCTGTCGTTGCCACTAAATGCACTATGATTTATTATCGTGTGATTGTTCAGTTAAACAATGTTGATTTTATATTTCATCATCAGGTTAACGCAGTGATAGCTTGCTCCTGATGTCAAAGTCAAAGTCATTTTATTGTCATTTCTACCACATGTGCAAGACATACAGAGAAACGAAATTGAGTTTCAGTACACACAATTCAGAGATCAGAAATACATGGGCAAGACACATGACAAGAATTGGTGACTGCGGTCATTCGCAACATGAGTCGCGCTACCTTAATAGATGAAAAGGAATTACATGAGGATAGGTTGGTGGAGGGAAAAAAAACAGGCATACCATAGTTACACCCGACAGGGCGTAGCTGTACTATGCAAAAAAAAAAAAAACACCTCAGACATATAAGCACGAACATCACAGTTACAAAAACATCACAGATAACATCAGACTCCGATAGGGAGGCGATGGGGGGGGGGGGGGGGGGGGGGGTCCTGAATCCTCCAATGGGAGCTGCCAGTGTACTGTGCTCAGCCAGCTGCAGTCAAACAGGTGAGAGGGAGAGAGGAGGGCCAGAGAGCACATTGAGTTTCCTGCAGGTTGATGACCTTGAAACAGAAGTCACAATCTGAAGGCAGGGGGGGAAGGTCGGGTCACAGCATCTGTCTACATTCCTCCTTTCGTGGGGGTTGATATTGATGGCAGCTTTGGAGGCTGCCTTGGCGTCAGATTAGGATAACAAGACTTTGTTTAGGGCAGACAGAGATAATTTTCCTCTCTGCCTTGGAGTCTTTTAAGTGATCATTCATGTCCACCAGTGAAGCCAATTATACGTTCTAAACATCCCCACACCATCCGGCGACCCTCTCCGAGATGACATCCATCTTGCGCACTAACACAGGCAACGCCGCAAGGACCAGCTTACGGTTCACCTCGAGTAACGTCCCAGTCTGTGACGTTCCGTGGGTAAGGGTCGCACTCCAATCGCTCCCGTCTTCCCAAATTTCCAGAAAACCAGATATCCTCCCACTCCAATCAGAAGAAATCCAGTGATCATCAGGCCGAACATCCACAAATCTTCCACGTCTTCGATGGACTACTGAGAGAGGCACACGATTCGCCAGACCTCCCAAGAATCGAATGCATATCCCGCTGCGTATGTCCCTTGAGGACAGGTGGGAGCCCCCTTCTCCGTTCTCATCGTAGAAAAAATCTTATCAATCACGTTGAATGACCAGTTAATTAAGTCCATTTTCCAAAAAAAGTAGTGATTTTCAGGAGAAATGCAGAGAAGTGCTCTGTAGGCAGACAGGACAGAGAGCCTTGGGAAAAGCAGATAAGGGAGCTGAAGCAAAAAGCATCTTTACTCTCTGAGAGCCGGATAAGAATTGTATTGTTGTGTGTCCCATTTTTTTCTCTTTCTGCAGGTCTAGAAGCAGACTCTTGTTAATTATTGTTCATTTTTGTGGAACCCCACCCCCACCCCCTTCCCCCCTATCTCCCCACCATTTGTCTTTTCCTTTCTCTTTCACCTCTGACTCCGTGTCTGGTCGGAATTGCAAAGCATTCAAAAACAACAACAATAAAGTTTTAAGTATCAGGCGCGGCATTAAAAGCAGATGCTTTGATGCTCCACCTGAGAGTAAATCTGTGAGGCTTGTTACCAGCATTCAGACATCAATTCTGTTTTCTTCACAGCCAGACAGGACATGGAAAAAAAAAAAAAGAAAGAAAGTTGTTACAGAGGCGGTACCATCCTGTACCATGCGCCAGCACATGTATACTCTGTGCATTCAACTGCCTCACTTTTTTAAAGGCAAATATTTTTTCGTTAAGTGTTCTAATCCAAGCTTCTGTTGAATAATAGAATATTCCATCTGACAACGTTTCAAGTGAAACAAAACAGGTTTGCTGCTAAAAAATATGAAATAAAACAACAAAATTATCAGGCTGAAATACCACACTCAAGGCTCAATAATATGCATTAGATTGGTGTTTAGTTCCCTTTTTCCATCTGATATTTATAGTTAAAATATTTTTTAATATTTGACCTACTTTTCATTAACATTTTAGGTTTGTATTAATAACACTCACCTTAGTCAAAATAACACATAAATATATCCAGTAAAATATACTGCATTTCATTAACATGCATTTGTATTGGAAATGGTAACATTTAATTTCTGCTGCTAACAACGTAATGGTGGCATGTCTATTATGTAGGGGTTGGCAATAATCCAGTTCAAATTATGTTCAAAGATAGAAGCGTTTGTGAATTATATACTACAACGGCTTGCCATACTTCCTGCTCCTGCCTGTGCAGTAATGTGACTCGTATCTGCAGCGCTTCTGATCCGTAGCACTGAAGGATGCAGAATAAACAGGATGGTGGGGACTTTCGTCCGCTTGTAGAGTTTAGTCTTTCTTAGTTTTACGATCATCATAAATTTCTCTGTGCGCCACTTGATCGTGAGACTGCAACCCGTTAGCTTGCGTGTAGCTGCACTTTTGATCCCAAACTTTGGACCGGTGTCGGTACAAGATCTGCTCGGGTGCAAAATTGGCTCGGGGTCCGTCGACTGCCGATGATGTCTAAGTAGTTGATTCGCTGAACATGAACCTTACGGAATTACGTAATCACGTTACGTTGTTATCACGTTACGTTGGTCCAGGCAAATCTTTCTATTGGAAAGATGGACAACTTTTACAAAGAAATCCATCATTTCCTCTTTGAAAATACACTTTTAGCATAGAGCTGCATGTATATTAGGGCTGAAAGATTAACTGCATGTGCAATTAAATTGCGATGTGACAAAAGGAGATTTTCTAATCGCAGAGGCTGCAATTTGGCAGCGAGTGGTTAGCACAATGCTAATATACATGGAAAAACCCATAGGAATGCTAATGCTAATATCACCGATTACATTATTACAAATTATGAATTAGAAACGTGCCAAATGATTACATTTGAAGTCTAATAGAAAGTAAAACTACCATCAATCAAATAAGTACAGACAGGTATTTTAGTAAAGCCAGAAAATGTTTAACTCCAGAGTTTTGGCTAGCAGCTATGAGCGTAACTGAACTACGCATGGACAAGACGTCAAAAACTCAACACAAATACTTCAATAAACGGGACACACTTCTTTCCTGCAAATACAATTTCACAGGTGTTGCTAATACCTATGATTCTTCAAGGGATGTGCTCAAAGAGGAGTTCAACATTATGAATACAATATAGTGTTTTATTTTACAAATACCATTATAAACACAAACTTACGTCTTAAGAAACATTATTTTAATAAGGAAACTGCTAAATTCTTTCCAACAGTATAGATGTGTAGTGTATTTTGTCCGAGTGGGATTGCCGTACTTTGACGTCATCGGCAGTCGAAGGACCCCGAGCCGATTTTGCACCCGAGCCGATCCTGTACCGACTCCGGCTCTGCCTTTGTGCCTTTGCTGGTTCCTGTATTTTCCTCCATTGCATCCAAATGACCACACTGTGAGCCAGTAAAAAGCATTTTTCTTACACGTAAATTACTTTTGTTCAATTACTTTTGTTCAATTACTTTTGTTCTGGGGAAAATAGTGATTCAAAGATGTTGCAACAGTGCTACGTTTAAAAATAGACAGACACGCACAGACAGCTTTTTTTTGTTGTTGTTGCACTGTACAGCCCTGCTTTGATATGGAAGAGCCTGGGGGAAATTCAGGACATCAATAGCGCCAACCATAGATATGTACCAACTAGCGAGAAAAGCTATTTTTGATCTTTTTCTGCAGCGGTTTTAGCACTTTTCGGTGCACCGCTGCTGATACAGCGCCCGTGTAGTGGCGCAACGCTGCAACTGCAGTTAAAATAACATCCGTATAGCTGAGGGCAGAGTTAAATCAGGCTGAGGCGGCACAAAATTAGCTGGAGGCGGCCGCCACACAAATTTGAACGCAGGAAACCCCTTTACATTGTATATACATACGATTTAGTACTTATTTTTCCCAAAAAATTAGCATGTCTGCTTTTTCTGGCAGCAGACAGGCCCTTTCTTGGCTGATGGTGTCTCCAGCAGTTGAAAATGAGGGTTCAACTGAGGATGCTTGAACGCAAAGGTAACTTTTGGCCAAACTGTACAGTAATGGCCAGCAATGGCAAACTTCATTTCCCACCACCACTCAAAAGGGTTAATGCTCAACAATGATGAAGATTCCTGCATAGCTTTAGCTCTGGTCTGAACCTGGATTGTCCTGGTGATTGCAGGAACTGCAATAATACTAATGCAATAATACTAATACTAATAATACTAATGCAATAATACTAATACAAATAATACTAATAATACTAATGCAATAATACTAATACTAATGCTTCATAATAATAATAATATAACAAGCTTTCTAAGCTGCTTTTTCTAATACTAGGTAAACAAACTACAGAGAAGTTTATTGTATGGCATATTTAAGCTTTTATTATTTGTTTATTATGATTATTATAAGTTTCTGTGATGTTGATGTCTTTCCCCTCACACACCTCCAGTTTTTATTGATTCATCAGAGGATTTAAGGCTGCAAACTTGAGTCTTCTTTATTTGCACTTGAAGACTGTACACTGTACATGCTTGCAAGGTGATTCCATGCATGATGAGGTACTTTGACAAATTGCTGGTTTTCCTGTTTGTATATTTAAATTGTAGGCTGTAAACTATAAATGTTGCATGTTGCTCTGTTCCCATTTACCGAAATGCAGCCAAAGCTTAAATTGTATTCATCATTTCAACCTATAACCTGTTTAGCTTGCAGAAGGTGTTGTTGAAAGGGTAAGGAGGGGGCTGTGTGTGAGTAAAAATCTTGTCTCCTCCGTGGTTCAGCGGTGGAGCTACACATTTAGACAACTGTTAACATCTCTGAATGCGATGGTGAAAGATTCCAGGGCCACTTACTGTGCTCAACTGATTGCTGTAAACAAAAATAACTCTAAATTCCTGTTTGACACCATAAACCAGATTGTTTCTCCTCACGTCCCTCTTATGCCAGTTTACTCAAGCTCTGACTGTACATAGTTCTTTTTAGTTATTTTTTGCCTCTTACGTATACAGTGAGTTTATGTGGACATGAGGAAAAGTTTCTGCAAATGCACTTCCTCCAACTTACTTTTTCTTAATGAATTCTATAAAAGCATAGAAAACCATACCTAGATGATGTGTTGCATGATGGGCAGGAGGCTCAGAAGGCAGGACAACCGGCTGTGCAGGGGGATCTTGAGGAAGAGGGCGGACTGGCTGCAGAGGGCCCGGCACAGCTGAGGAGAAACCTGGAGGCAGGTTCTGGTGGAAAGTTGTGTGGCCTATACCTGGTTTATGGAAATAATTTCAGTAGAATAACAAACACATTTCATTATATTTAAATTTAGAAAAAAACTTGAATTTGAATATCAAATCTGAAATTAAATAAATTCTTAATGTAAAACATTGAGTGGGTTAGACTGAATCTTATGTCCTCATACCATAAGGGCGCCCCGTCATCCAGAGGGATGAACTTCCAGTTCTTGGCATCCAGTGATGATGAGCAGAATGTGCAGCAGGATCTCCTAACTGGCTGGAGGGGAGCGATGTCCCACCAGGAACCATGAGATGAGAGGTTAGGTCTCCATGACAACTGTTGGATGGATGGATCCTTGCAAACTTCACCTGCTCTTTATTATGGCTGTTATTATGATGTCAGAGAAACTCATGTTTACCACTGAATTTCTGAATGCAGACTTCTTACTGCAGTGATTTTTTACTGTGGTTCTTAGGACTTTGAGTTTACATTTACTCACCTGATGAATGCATCTTTGTCTCTATCCAAGCAGGTGAGGCCCATTTGTTCATCACTCACCTTCTTTCTCTCCTCCTGAGTGGGATCTGAGGGACACATGAGGCAGTGTAGCCCGGTGAAAACAACACTCACACTTTGTCTCGTGCTGAATACAAACTCGCAAGTAACTAGCAGCTTCTATCAAACATAACAACATAAAAAGCTAAAATAAACTTGATGATACTTTACTTCATCGATCCATCTAGAAAAACGGTTTACTTTAAAGGAACAATCAGGAATTTTCCCCCTTTCAGGAATTTGACTTTTTATTTAAATCCATAAAAGTGATAGTCCTGTACTGTTATATATTGTAGGCGAAACATCATTTTCATTTTCTTTGGCCAAGCTTGTCCCCCCATCCCATAGAGCCCCAAGAAATTTGAATTGAGCGCCGCTCAGCATAAGCCAATAGTCTTCGACACCGGCTTACGTACATTTGTCAATCACAGAGTGTGAGCGAGTTTTTCCAGACATACCTAGACCGATGCAGAGTAAGTGACATTTCCTATTGATAAGTAAACCTTTAATACATATCCATATATGAGGGCTTTTAGATTTACACGTTTTAATGCATTAATGTAAAGCCCTCTTTAACAATGTTAATTTATTAAATATGTGATTAATGCGCAGGCTTTCATAGTTTTTCTTTGGCCCTCCTGGCGTTCCGTAGTCTGTGATGTAAGAATGAAGCAGGAATGTTAATGCTAACTCAGCAGATGCTAGGTAGAACATGGGAAGCTAATGAGGTCTTTGAATGGAAAATGTTGCTTTAAAACTCTACCAGATCAGCTGATAAGGCATCTTCTGTGCATTAATTCTGTGTGTTTTTTTTAACTGCATTACTTGGTTATTTACACAGGAAAATAGTTGTTTTGCGTCTTTTGCTGATGTTTTCACCACCACTGCAGTCTTCCTCAGAGCTCAGCGCTGTTGGCGGCATCACTTGCTTCTCCGTTCATCTGCGGACAGCAGAGGGTGACACTGTCCTCTGCTGATCCCATCGTCTCTGTTCGTGAATGAGTGTCCATGTCTCCTTATTGTTCTGTGTTTATGATCCCTGTTGTGTCCCAGTCTATTTCATGATTCTTCCTTGTGCAGTGGTCTGTTACGGCTGATTTCTTTATTGTACTTTCTGCTTCTTGTTTTGCTGCTCTTGCTTCTTTCTCACACACTTCTCTATGCTCTATAGTTCATGTGCTGAGTTTCCGGTTTCTCCTATTAAATTTTTCTTAGCATGGATTGCGTGGGATTTTGTACATGACTCCACAAAATGCTTTAAAAATCTGCGGATATCCAACGCGGGCAATAAACAAATTGAGACAACAACAGAAAGAAAAGAAATACAAAAATCAAGAAAAACAAGAACTGAAAACAATGATAACCCTTCTATACATAAAAAGCATAACAAAAAATAAGAATAACAACAATTAAAAGACACAACATAAACACACCCTAACAAAACAATACACAACAGTTAGAAAAATATTAGTACACCCAAAAGACAAGACATCACCAGGACATAAGTTAGCCTGGCCTGCCAGACTCCTCCTCTGTTTAATTCTGCACAGGGAAAGGGTCTGGGAACTCTCCGATTCAAATAACCCCACCCCGTGAGAATTCTAACCGAGCCAATCAGCGCTGTGCAGCGTACATCACACACCACAACGCCGAGTTTGTCGAACTTGGCAAATGAAGCCGAGTTCGCTGCGGCTCTTTCCTCTGGTCTAAATGACTTGAATGTCTGCCTAGTCCCGCCCTCATGTGCCTCTCTGCCTGTGAGTTATCAGACTCTTTCTCTGTACAGAATTAAACAGGGGACAAGTCTGGCAGGCCAGACAAGACATAAGTGTGGAGTCCCATAAGAAATCCCATGCAAACTCTGCAGTAAAGCATGCATAGGAGAAACTGGACGGCAACTCAGCACACAAACAACGGAACACAGAAAGGAGTGCGAGAAGGAAACAAGTTGAAGACAAACATGAGCAGCAAAACAAGAAGCAGTAAATACAATGAAGAAATCAGCCGTAACAGACTGCTGCACAAGGAAAAATCATGTAATGGACTAAGACGGAACATGGATCATAAACACCAGACAACAGACTTATAAAAGATGAATTAAGGGAGGAAACGTGGACACACAACCATGAGGAGAGACGATAGGATCTACACATTGGATCATGCATGGGACTGTGTCATCGGCAAGGAGAGTGTGAGCAGCAGAGGGCAAAATCGTCCTCTGCTGCTCACAGATAAACAAAGAAGAATAGCGGTGAACTCTGTGAAAAGCCCCAGTCAAAACGTCAGCAAAAAGGTAAAACAACTCTTTTCCTCTTTTCCTTACTAAAACCGTACTTAAGCTCTGCAAAAAAAAAGTTCTTACGCCAAGTAGGTGTGTGATCTATCAAACATGGAGGACGCACAGCTGCACGCAATCTCTGCTTCATAAATCAGAAACTATCTAGAAAGTTTCTCAGCTGCTTTTTAGTCACATCCCGCCCTCACCACGCCCACTTACTGCCATAAATAGTCAATACAAAGTGCCTTGTGGATCTCATGCATGTACATAAGCCGGCTGTTGCAGCGCTCCGCCAATGACGATGGCGACCGTAGATCAAGACAGACAAAGGAAGTGCTATTTTTCAGAAGCAGAAATTGAGGTGGAGAAATGAAAGGAAGTGCTTTTGCAAAACAAATAAGAGAAAATCCACAGAGTGGCACAGCGTTGCTGAAGCCGTCAATGTTGTGAATTCTTCAGAGAGATCTGTGGCGGGTATAAAAAAAAGGTCCAATTGGGATTCGATCCCCAGACTTCCAGGTGAAAGTCACACACGCTAACCAGTCAGCCAAATGGAGATCTCCCCTGTCCAAGTAGCCAGGACGCATAATCGGGTCACAGTGACAGGACACACCGTCATAGACGCATGACATTCTGTCTCAATATGTCCCCCTGCTGATAATCTGCATTCCGTATTCTGCGCTTCAGGCTGTGTGTGTGTGCACGCATGTGTGTGCGTGCGCGCGCGTGTGTGTGCGTGGGGGGGGGGGGGGGGGGGGTTGCTTGTTCTGTGTGAAAACGAAGCAGTACGAGTGATAACGCTGCAGGATTTCATTATTTTATCTTCTCAGCAGCAGCACTGCAGGTGCTCTCCATGTGCAAAATGTGCGTAAGCCAGGTCCTTAGTCAACTTAAAGTTGCGCACATTCTTCTGCTAAGTTTTCTATCATAAATCCCGAAGTTTGTGTGGAAAGTTGCTTACGCAGTTTTACAACCCCGTTTTGTGCGTAAGCCAGCTTGATAAATGAGGCCCCTGGACACGAAGTGGAAAAACTGAAGACGTTGCAAAAATGGTGCTGGAGCATGGGAGGTCCTTAACTCTTGTATGTGTGTATCTGTGTGTGTGTGTGTGTGTGTGTGTGTGTGTGTGTGTGTGTGTGTGTGTGTGTGTGTGTGTGTGTGTGTGTGTGTGTGTGTGTGTGTGTGTATATATATATACACACACACACACACATATATATATATATATATAGCCAACAAATAAAAAGCCACATAGTCTAATATTTTCCTTGGACCACCTTGGCATTGTTTCTTTATCTTTTGTAATATCACGAGATTTATATTATTTCACAAAGATCTTGCACTGATGGCGCTAGTCTGACCCCTGCACAAAGCCTTCTCCAGCACATCCAAAATATTCTCAATGGCGTTAAATTCTGGACCTTGTGGTGGCCAATCCATGTGTGTTAATGATGTCTCATCCTCCTTGAACCACTCTTTCACTATTTGAGCCCAGTGAAACCTGGCATTGTCATCTTGGAATATGCATGATGGGTGCATCACTTCATCTGCCTTTCTTCTTAGCACCCATTACTCTGGAACAGGGTCAGTCTGGACTCATCAGATCACATGACTTTATTCTTTTGCTACAGAGTCCAGTCTATGCTGCCTAGCAAATTGAATCCTTTTTTTCTCAGTTTGCCTTACTGATTAGTGGTTTTCTTACAGCTTCACAGCTGTTTGGTCTCAAGCCTTTGAGTTCCCTTTGCATTGTAAGTGTGGGCATGCTCTTACATTCACTATTAAACATAGCCCTGAGTTCTACTGTTGTTTTTCTGTAATTCGCTTTCACCAAAGCGATAGCCTATAACGATTATTTGAGATTTTTTTCCAACCACATTTCTACCCCGACACGATGGTTCCCTGCTATCCTTCCTATTTTAAATAATGCGTTGGAGAGTTCTTAACCCAATTTTAGTTGTTTCTGCAATTTTCTTACATTTTTCCTCCGCTTGATGCATGCCAATGATCTGACCCTTCTCAAACAGACTAACATCTTTTGTGTCTTTCCACATGGTTGTTTGATGAATGAGCAGCAACTCATTGCACCAGTTAGGGTTAAATAAAATAATATTGCCAGCTGAAAGATAATTGCCCATGCAGTAACTATCCGATAAGAGGTTTGTACTTATTTGCTGAGTTAAATTCAAGTGGTGACAGTTTTTTGGGCCAAACAGTGTATTTATATTTACATAATAGAGATGCCCAGGGAAAAATCGATTTGTGTCCGAATAAGGTTATTTATTAATATTCTTAATTGATTGTTGAACATTCTGAATTGATTCTGCCTGAAAACCTTTATGTAAACTGCTGTATTTTTGAAAGTCTCTGAACACATCATTGCTTGAGCTGGCGCCAGCTGCAGTTCCTTTGTTCTGTGTTCCTGTGCTGCAAAGCAAATAATATACAAATCTCTAAGTGCATGAGACTTATCCGTTTACTAAAATAAAACTGAGTTATATCTAAGAGATGCTAATAATTTCTAATGCAATTTAAGCATTATTACTTTTTCCAATCTGTTGAACTTTAAATTTTTGTGTGCATTTGTTCACCGTGAGGTCATCTTACCTCTCACTGAGTTCTGTACTCTTCCCTGATGGCTGTTGGGGTGAGTGCCTACATGACATGGAGGTTCCCTTTGTCTGGCTACTGCCACGGCAATTCCCACTGGTGGCTGCCGCACCTCTCTTTCCCCATGACTCATCTCCCCCATATCCCGTCTCCCTCTGCTGTAATCAGGCTGCCCAGCATCAGCTGGGCCCTTCCTGGAAGACTGAGTCTGCTTTTTCCCCTGCAGGGCACAGCTTTCCCCTGCTGGACCTGATTTTAGACTTCCCAACCCTCCAAATGGGCTTTTCAGAGAAAATAGAAGAGGCCGTTGTTGGTGGCTGTACTTCAGCAGACACTTCATGGCACTGCTTTCACCCTGAATTGTACCTTTGGAATCAGGTTGCTGCTGTGACTGTGGCTGTTGCTGATTGAGAGGGGGTGCAGTTTGAGGTTGTGGGGGGAGAAAGTTCATCCCTGGCTGTTGTTGCTGCTGCTGTGGGTGTTTCCCAGCAGAGCTTCCTAACTCAATGTAAGACTTCCTCTGCTCCTCCTCAGAGTGTGACATGCAATGAGGGGGCATCATGTCCCAGGGAGGCACTGAGGGTTGCTGGTGATGATGCTGCCCATTGTTGTTGGTGTAACCATATGGAGAATTCTCTACCTTTCTTTTGAGCTCCTGACTATTCCTCTGGTTCATATCAGCTGCGGAAGGAGCATCTGGGCCAGGTCGGTCATGCTGCTGGTGTCGAATCTTGGCTACCTTTTGGCCATCTCTCTGTAAGGAGCAGCTACCTCCCTGCCCATGAGCTGCTCCTGCCCCTGTGTGTTGCACCATGTCTTTATTGTCAGCCAGCGAGGAAGAAATAGGTGGAGGTCCTTGATGAGAACAGTCTTTAAAAAGTGGAGTGTTGACAGAATGAGGAACTGCCTTTGGTCCCTGGGAAAGTGAAGATCTGAAGCCATCCATGCCCACACCGCTGTTGATACATTCAGCACTCTGTGAGTGTACAGCTAGGTGCTGTTGTTGAGAATGTGGTGGCTTTTGTTGTTGTTGTTGGGGTAGTGGAGGAAGTGAGGCCAGAACATGTTGAGGGTGGGACTGCATCCAGTCTACAACCTTCTCTGTCTTTCTGTAAGGGTGTTGCTGTTGCTGTTGTTGCAGTTTTCTATCCCAGCTACTATGATGCCCACCAGTAGCCCTTTTATCCATTGCTTTGTCCTTGGTATTATTGCCTCCTCCACCACCACCCACACCATGGCAGTCAAGATTACTAAGCTGGAATGGCTCACTAGACTTGTCTCCCAAGTCTGCCACACATGGCACAAATGATGGCCCTGTAACTTTGGGCTCACATCTTGCATTGACTGCCCCCCTCTCTTGTGAGGCTAAGTTGGCTAGATGAGCAGGTCGGGGAGGGCAGAAAAAGTCTGCATGGTGGTGTGTGTGGTGAGAATTATGTGGGTGGTGTGGATGGCTGGGGTGGAGCTGGAGACAATGAAATCCTCCTGGGTGAGGATGTTTTTGGGGGTGAGCAAGAGGATGTGGGTGATTGTGTGCCCCTTCAGTAGCAGAGCTGATGTGTAGCGGTGGGGGTACAGGGTAGGGTAGAGAGTGGTGAAGGGTTGCTGGACCTCTTTCCAAACAGTCCAAAGGTTGTTCACGAATCCTCATCTCTCCACTCACTCCTTGTTTGGTACAGCGACTACCTCCATTACAACCCATGTACTTGCCCTGGCTGCTCCCCCCATCCCCCATAGCCCGAAGGGCTGCACCCTCACCACCACAGCTGGGCATGGAAACCTTTGTTCTCGTTGCAGCTCCTGCAGCTCCATTTTGCATCTTTCCATTGTGCAAGCAAGCACTAAGGGACTTGCCTATCATCTGGGGGTGCTCCTTGCTGTATTCCATTGCAAGCAATGCCTTGTCCCTCTCCAGGGCCCAACTGTTAACATCCTCTAAAGGCAGCAGTTGCTGTGGATAGTGAGGCTGTTGCTGAGGAGAGTGGGAATGATCGTGGTGTGTGGTCTGGTGGCTGTGGTGCTGCTGTTGGTGTAGTCGTTCTTTAGCATCATGTTTTCTACTGGACCTCTCCTTGTCTCTGACAAGTATCACTCCCCTGTCCACAGAACTGTCTTTGAGACCCTTGTGTATATAAGTCTCTAATTCTGGATCTCTGTCTCTGCTGCAGGACCCATGGGAGTGCCCTGAACCTGCCCTGGACATTGGTGGCAGACTGTGATTGGCTGAGATGAGAGACGGTTGAGATGGAAGACCCTGCTGATAGAAGTTTTCTACAAGAAGACGGGAAGTAGATAAAAACATATTTAAAAGAATAATCAAATACTAATTTTCTTTTTTAGCTTCTAGTATTTTTCTGTTAATATTAAGTTTAAGTCGATTAACATGTTGCATCATCATTTTTGAATCTGCTTTCTTCTTACCTTTTTGAGTATCATAGAAACAGTGCTGCCCATAGAGAACGCCACTGTTGGCATGGTGATCCAGGTGATTCATTGGGAGGAATGCGTGGGTCAAACTCCCTGAAAATCGAGGATATCCTGGACCTAACAGAGGGAGGGAAGAAGAAGGTTTATAAAACATGCCTCAGCTACTGCGATGCAGTTCAGACAGTAATCTTTTAGGCCTGGTGTAGCTGGCTGTGTTCATAAGCACATGAGTGCTGGCTTTTCTTTCTGTTTGCTCTTTCTGCCTGATTTTAAAATACAGACAACAACAAAAAATCTTGGAGACTGGTGTAATATGACATTTTGAATGGAATGATAACTGACGATTTGAATCTTGTGTTAGGATGGGGTGGTCGCCCCTGGGTCCCGGGTCGCTGGGTCCCGGACTCGGCCGGCTAGGGGGTGGGAGGTGGCGGGCGGGCCTGTGGGCTTGCCGCTGATATCTCCCGGGACTCTGCCGGCTGCTGGTTGTGGCCCCCCGGGGCGATCCTCTGTGCCTCTCGAGGGGGGCGGGGGCCTTCCTGGTTGCAGCCTCCTTGGGGTTCCTGTGTTCTGGGGCAGCGCCTGGATCTCTGAGACTTGGAGCTCCCCCCGTCTCCTACGCATCTTTGGGGGGGCAGATCTGTGGTGCCTCACACTCTCTATTGGGCGCTCCTATAGAGAAACCTTACATAAACAAGCGCGTGTACACACACAGGTGCTCACATGGTGCTCTCAAAAGTATGGGCTTGGGCACGTTAAACACAGGTCTTAAGACTATGGTGGGCACTTAATGCACTGTGATTTATTATCGTGATTCTTCAGTTAAACAATGTTGATTATATATTTGTTCATCAAGTTGACGCAGTGATAGCTTGATCTTGTTGTATTGTTGTTGTGTCTCTTTTTTTTTGTTCTTTTGCTTTTTTTCTTGTCTTTTTCTGCTGGTCTAGAAGCAGACTCTTGTTCATTATTGTTTATTTTTGTGGAACCCCCCCCCCCCACCCCCACCCCCCCCCCCCCCCCCCACCCCACCCTCTCTCCCCACCTTTTGTCTTTTCCTTTCTCTTTCACCTCTGTCTCCGTGTCTGGTCGGAATTACAAAGCATTCAAAAACAACAACAGTAAAGTTTTAAGTATCAGGCGTGACATTAAAAGCAGACGCTTTGATGCTCCACCTGAGAGTAAATCTGTAAGGCTTGTCACCAGCATTCAGACATCAATTCTGTTTGCTTCACAGCCAGACTGGACACGGTAAAAAAAGAAAAAGAAAATAGAACCGGAGCGTAAAGGCCGCGACATGCTGCTCCTGAGACGCGTCCGACTCGCGCTGCTGACGGCTCCGGTGGGAAAGGTTCTGTTGACCACAGCGGTTCCTATCAGCAGCTATGACGTGCTGCTGCAGTAATGTGCTGCTGACGGCTCTGGTGGAAAGAAGAGGTTAAAAGGAGGAGGGAGACCACACCTCAACGCCGGTTGATTTCTCCACACGGGTATATCCAGTTGGATACTCTCCTGCCACTCAGTCTCTAGGAAACTATAGTCTAGTTATATTTTTGATTACTCTACCTGACGTTGCTCCTTGTTTTTCTCAGATCCTGCTCAATTTCACACCTTCAGCCAAACTCCTGGACCTCACTTCAGCCTGCATCTTCCTTCCCTCAGTCCTGTTCACCACCACTCATCCACCCCTCTCTGGAACCCTCATCTCGACCCCACTGGACACTTGGATCCTGCCACCTCAGACCTAACAGGCGTCCCCACGTACCATCTCCCCAGCAGCACAGTAAGACCTCCACTCCTCCTTCACCTCCAAACCACCAGACCTCCTACTAATCCAGACTCTACTTGCAGGTCCATTTCTGCCCCTCTTCCCTGCATCTCCCAGTTTGGGATGTCCTTAGTTATGCCCCATTTAATAAAACCTTTGCTTAATTTTACATTTGTCTCTTGTGTTGATTCTGCATGTCTTGGGTCAAGCACTTAAGCCCCAACATGACACAAGGCTTAAAGGAGGAGGTTAGAGAAAAGTTTGAAAAAGTGGCCTGTGATCGCGACTATTCTAAGCACCACCGCATCTTGCTACCAACCAAAAAGTGGAGTCCAATAGAATAGAATTTATTGTCCTTAAACCAACATCCTAGTTCAATAAGATATAGCACAGGTGTTTTAGTGTTTTCCGGTTTCAACACGCCTGATTTCAATTAGCAGGTGATTAACTGGCTTCTGGAGAGCTTGATGAGCTGTTGTACAGGTGAATCAACTGTGTGGGAACAGGGAAACAGCAAGAAGATGCAGGCTACTGGCTCTCAAGGACTGGAGATTGACACCCCTGGCAACCATTCTAAGATCAGCCAAACGATACATGGAATAGACAAAAATTGTGGGCATGCAACCCTAAGGTGCTCCCATTTGGCAAATAATGAAAAAGGGGTTACAAGAGGGTGGGGAGGGATGAGGGAGAAATAAACATGTGTCCCCACTCTGCTCGCTGAGGGGCACAGATATGGCTTGCAGGAAAAAACTCTAAAGCACAAACTCAGTAACAGCATGAGTCCACAAGTAGGAAGTGGAGCCGAGAGAGCACACAGCATCCAGTGTGCTCACTTTAATCCCCACTGCTCAGAGGTGTGGAAAAGACGCCCGTTAACCGTTAATAGCTGGTGAACCGGAAACCAAGTTAGCGCTTTGATGTGAGGCTTATTGTGTTCTAGTAATTAAATAACTAAGAATCAAGTGCTCTCACGCTGCGCTCTTTGCTAACCGCTTCATGTTTGAGCACACTTGTGTGGTCATGTGACAAGCTCATTTCTTCTTCTGCAGTTGCCCAGTAAACATATTTTGATATTGGTACTCTTGTTCCCTCTAGTGGCACAAAGCATATTACATCCAAGCGCAGCAGAAAAAAAAGGCGTGTTCTAAAATCTCGACTAAATCAAAAATCTAATCAAATCTACTTTATTTATAGAGCGCTTTCACATGCCCAACATGGACAAACAAAGCGCTGTACACCAATAAAAAGCACCACCATGGGACAGAGAAATGACCATTAAAATACAATAAGAAATCCATTAAAAATACAATAATAAATCCATTAAAAATACAATAAGAAATCCATTAAAAATATAATAAGAAATCCATGTAAAATACAATAAGAAATCTGTTTAAAATACAATACGAAAACCTGAGTGCAAGTTCACAGTCCAATATCCGGCCTACTTCCCCCAACTTCAAAGTCCAAACGCCAGCGAGAACAGATGTGTCTTTAGTCTTCCTTTAAAGGTTTCTAATGACTTGGCCTGTTTTACATCAGCTGGCAGCTCATTCCAGAGACTTGGTCCAAGTACTGAAAAGGCACGACTCCCACGAGACTTCAGGCTGTACCTAGGCACAATTAGTAATCTCTGGTTTATCCTTCCTCCATCCAGCACCAATAAACCATTTCAGTGATAAAGGTTTGAAATAGCAATATGATGCCAAGCACAAGATTTTTGAAGATAGAATCCCCAAAAGATCTGAGATTTTTCTAAAATGACAGCCTAAATTACATGGACAGATTTTAAATTTGATGGCAAGCTGTGGCATTTTCTACAATATCTATTCTAGCATTTGCATTTTGTGGAAGTAAAACAAAAATCTGACTATAGCACAAATCATTCAGCAAAATGTGTTCAAATATGTACTACTGGAAATACACAGATTCATAGTGGGGTTTAATTCAGCACAGCTGTTTCCCCGTTAATTGTTCCTTAATGTAAATGACCTAAGATGTGGTTCGCTTATTAACACATGATGAACACAAGCTTCCAAACTCTCTAGACATCTCCTGTGATTTAGTTTCAACAAAGTTCTCTCTTCTGTTTCTGCTGATTGTCCCATTTTAATGTTAATGAGTCACAATTATGGGAAGAACAAAGTCTCAAAAGATGTGTGTGTCTCTAGATCTGTGTGTGTGTGTGTGTGTGTGTGTGTGTGTGTGTGTGTGTGTGTGTGTGTGTGTGTGTGTGTGTTTATAGATCTACGCATGTGCAACTCTTGATTTGTAACTTGTGTTTACATTTCGTGAGTAACTTCAGCTCCAACACAGCTCCTCACTCTCAGAGTGACGGAAACCAATCGCTAACACCTGACAGAAGACCCCCCCCCCCTTTTTTAAAAACAGCATGGGAGCTGACCAAAGCACCTCCCTAACAATATTTTTTTTAAAGTCACGTCACAAAAAATACTGAATAAACCATAAGTAAATCAGATAAAAACACCAATTTAAGCACAATAGAAAAGTTTAAAGAATTTAAAAATCCATCCATCCATTTTCATCCGCTTATCCGGAGTTGGGGCGCGGGGGCAGTAGCCTAAGGCGAAAGGCCCAGACTTCCCTCTCCCCAGCCACTTGGGCCAGCTCCTCCGGGGGAATCCCAAGGCATTCCCTGGCCAGGTGAGAGACATAGTCCCTCCACCGTGTCCTGGGTCTACCTTTATGTTTATGTTTATGTTTATGTTTATTCATTTAGCAGATGCTTTTATCCAAAGTGACTTACAATTTATAACCTACAGGGCATGTTGTGATCTGTGGGGGAAACCGGAGTACCGGAGGAAACCCACGCATGCATGGGGAGAACACGCAACTCCACGCAGAAAGGCCGCAGCCGAGTTTCGAACCTGCAACCTTCGTGCTGCGAGGCAACAGTGCTAACAACTGCGCCAACATGCAGCCCCGACCTTTAGGTCTCCTCCCGGTTGGACGTGCCCGCATGGACGTAATTTTCACTTTAGAAGTGGGGGGCACACGGGGGAGGGAGGAGGGGGGAGGGGTATCTTTACGGTATGCTCTAATGGGAAACAGACTTCAACACAAACGGTTGTTTTCCGCTTGGTCCTAGAGCTCATCCAGTGTTAATTTAATATAGCGTAATACTGTTTTGGATGGTAAAAAGTGCAGGGGTCAAAACTTGACTTTGGAAAATGTGGGGGGGACATGTCCCCCCTGTCCCCCCCCCCCCCCCCCCCCAAAACTACGTCCATGCGTGCCCGGAAAACCTCACCAGGGAGGCGTCCAGGGGGCATCCTGACCAGATGCCCGAGCCACTTCAACTGGCTCCTCTCGATGTGGAGGTGCAGCGGGTCTACTCTGAGCCCCTCCCGAATGACCGAGCTTATTACCCGATCTTTAAGGGAGATCCCAGCCACTCTTTGGACAAAACTCATTTCGGCCGCTTGTATCCGTGATCTCGTTCTTTCGGTCACTACCCAAAGCTCATGACCATAGGTGAGGGTAGGAACGTAGATCGACCGGTAAATCGAGAGCTTCGCCTTTTGACTCAGCTCTCTCTTCACCACGACAGACCGGTACAACGCCCGCATCACTGCAGATGCAGCACCAATCCACCTATCGATCTCACACTCCAGTTTTCCCTCACTTGTGAACAAGACCCCGAGATACTTAAACTCCTCCACTTGGGGCAGGACCTCATCCCTGACCCGGAGAAGGCATTCTACCCTTTTCCGAATCAAGACCATGGTCTCAGAATTAGAGGAGCTGATTCTCATCCCAGCTGCTTCACACTCGGCTGCGAACCGCTCCAGCGAAAGCTCAAGATCACGTTCTGATGAAGCCAACAGGACCACATCATCTGCAAAAAGCAGAGACCTGATCCTCAGGCCACCAAAACGGATGCCCTCCACACCTTGGCTGCGCCTAGAAATCCTGTCCATAAAGGTTATGAACAGAGTCGGTGATAAAGTCGGAATTTTAAAATGAGTCACAATCTAAAAGCCTAATCATAAAAGCTACTTGACACCAAATAGATGGTGACTGTCAAATAGTGAGTGGCAGTGCATTCCAAAGAGTGGGAGCTACATACACGAAGGCTCGCTCCCCTCTTGCCTTGTAGTTCATATAGAGGTGCAGAGTACAAGACGGTCAGCTGACCCTTGTGAGCACACCGGCACACAGAACGTGAGTAGGTCCGACAAATTTGATGGTGCCAGAACGTTCAAGGCTTTATACACAAAAAGCAGGATCTTAAATTGTACACTAAAAGCCACAGGTAGCCAATGGAGATGCGGTAAAACCAGGGTTACATGGCTATGTCTGTCTGTGTTGGTCAAGAATCTCGCAGCTGCATTCTGCACAATCTGCAACAGTTCAGGGCAGAAGCTGGAGTTCCATCTAAAAAAGAATTTGCATAGTCAAGCTGAGAGCTGATAAAGGCATGCATGTATCACAGACTCCAAATGTGGCCGTTTCAAAATAGACTTCAGGTGCTTTAAACAGCACAGTTTAAAGAAACATGACCTCACAATCGCATTGATCTGAGCGGCCATTGTAACCATAAACTGTGACATGATGCCCCATACCAATCATGTCAGGAGTATTTTGGTACATAAAAAAACTGGGAGCTCAGCTTAGCAAGCCAGACAATTATAAGCTGTACTTTAGAGCACAGCTCAATAAGAACCAACAATAGTGCAACAAACTTAATAAAGCTTTGTTCCCCTAACTGGCAAGATTGTATCACTTCACTCAAAAGATAAGGTCAGGTGAAGGGTGAAGCTGAGGATATGTGTTCATATGTAAGGTACCTTCATGAGAATGAGGAAACCAGATTTGTGAGGTATTGGACTGAGGTCCGCCTCTAAAAGAGGGTGAAGAGGGCGAGGAAGGTGGCCGGGATGGGTGAGGAGTAGAACCAAGACTGCTGGCCAGAAAGGTCCCCATGAAGGAGGCAGGAGTATTACCCATTAATCCACTGCCTGGATCACCAAATGGACAAAAGGCAAGGAGAAGAAAACAAGGTCAGAATTACAATTAAACATTTTGACCATGACCAAAATATGAAATTATAGCACATTGGCATTTTAGGTGGAATCGTCAAGGTCACACAAGCTCTCCCCATGGACAGATAAAAATACAAAAGGATCAATGCAGCGATAGAATGAAGGAGATGTGGGCACAAACCCATGAACAGAGACAATGGAGTATTCACATTGGATCACGCATGGGAGAGTGTCATCAGCAAGGAGAACGCGGGCAGTAGAGTGTGACACCGCCCTCTACTGCCCGCTGATAAAAGGAAGTGACACCACCGACACCGGCGATCTCTGATGATGGCTAGAGATACTAGCTAAAGCATGCCAGGTAAAAAACAAGAACTGGTTTACCATTAAAAACACAGAATGAAGGTACAAAAAATAATCTAAACATTTGCTGATGCAAAATTCATGCAAAAAAACTGAAGTATAGAAAAGTTCGAGAGCTGTTGAGAGAAATCCAGGTGGACCTCATTTTGGATCATTTGGGGTACATTTCGGCACAAGTTGTGCAGTTAGGAATTTTTCAGGTTTTTTCCTTAGGTTCTTTTTTTCATCACTTTTCCTCACTTGTTTCTGTGTTTTTGAGGGTTTGGGGGGAAACCCCACCCAACATACATTTACCCAATCAAAATATGGGGAAATCATACAGAGGAAGTCTTTTAACTCCATACGGAGCGAATTTATTAACAATAACAATCTGAACTGAAAAAAGTAGTTTACATTTACAAAAAAAATACAAAAACAAACAATGTAATAATATGTATAAGAATATGATATAATAATAAGATATCAGCATTGTGTTCAGTTGTTAGCCTGAAGGGCAACCTGCAGGCTTGATAATCACCTGTAAGTCATTTTTTACAAAAGCATCTGCTAAATTCATAAACATAAACAACACTGTTACATGTGTCAGGACAATTATAACTAGTGGACTGTGGTTCCAGAGGTGCTGCTGAACTCCCAGCAAACAGCAGCACCTCTGCAGCTAGCTGCTCTTTGAATTGGTTGTGACTGTGTGGCTTTCCTGAGTCAGGCTCTTTCCTCAGAATCACCGTGACCCCATTTTGGAAGGAAAGATGAGCGTGGGGCTTTTCTTTTCCTTGGGTTTGGAGGAGAAGAAGAAGGGCTTGGCCCTGCCTGTGGCTGAGTGCCAGATGCCTGTCCAGAGAATGGCTGATAATCCACATCAGTAACATCATTTTCACTGTTAAGTCACATAAAAAAAAGTTTTTACATTGTTAAGTTATATTCATTCACAATAACAGCGAGAAACCCCTTTTTGAACAGAGAAATATATGAAGAGGATTATGTACATAAATAACAAAAAATATATAATATCTGGTAAATATGTCAGTAATTTTACACAAAATGAAAGAAAAGAGCTGAGGAAATCAGGTTACATACCTTTCTAAGGAAATAATCCAGATCACTATTGTCTTGATCTGGGAAGACAAGATCCTCCTCATCGAAAGATGAATCCACTGGACACAGATTAGCACCGCCATCATCAGCTAGCACACAACTCTTTTTCACTTGACGAGAGGAGCTCGTCAATAAATGCAAGTGAAAAAGAGTCAGTGTTGCAGGTAGACACTCCCTCTTTGCGTCATACACACTGTGTGTAAACGCGTCTACAAACACAGGTAGCAAATAACAGTTATGCAGTGGGATATCTCTGGATCCCATTAGATGATTTGCGATGTTCAAACCACGCCTTAAACCTCTGAGCCAATAGAATCGCGTGGTGCTGTGTTTCCTTGTGTCCAAGTTAAACCGCAAAGACCACGCGGCTCCCAAGAGGAGAGCTGTTTTAGGTAAAAGGGCGTCGCAGACTTCTAACTAGTCTGGAGGTAACAAAACACTGCAAAAACTGTCAGGAAGTAGTTTGTTTTAACATTGGTAAAAAGGATTACACAAATTGAGTGGATTTTTTTTTACTGGAACACAGATTATGATTACAAATCAGAAAAGGTAAGACTGAATTTATGCTGTTGACTGCCGAAAATGAGTTGTGTTTGATCGCACCTGGCTTTGTAAGATTTCACGGTACAGAAATGAGACGTCTATCGTTTGAAAGAAGAGAATCGTGGCTTTATTTTGAGTGGTTTGCTGGATAGGATCATATTTTATTGTCACTACTATGTGTTTTCCTCAGGCTTTGCTTGATATGTGAAGTTAGTGTTTTTACTTGGTTGATTTAAAGGATTAGTGTGTGAATTGGGTGTTTCTGAGGTAGAAGGCAATGTCTGTGTTGTTTATTCTAGCTTATTATGTACGTGTGTAGTGTGCATATATTGATGAGCATTAAGCATGGTTTTGGAACAACTTGGAAACGGGAAGTAATTCCGGACCCGGCACCGGGTTTTGCGGGTTTAAGAGATTTACTCTGCAGTCACACTAAGGTGACCAGATCCCAACTTCCCAAATGTCAGACAGAGACGGAGACTACTAAATGTGGGACAACGTGAAGTTCCAATGTAATGAGAAAAAAAACAAACAAACAAAATGTACATTCTGCCTTATAGCCCTAACATCACTGTTACATATACATAAAATGATTATTCTTATTATCATCATATATTTCTTGTATATATTTTATTTGAATTCAACATGAGCATTCAGCAAAAGCTTTACTATGTCACAGTTCCTCTCAAGTTACCACAACATAACTGTAGAGGCTCTGATCATTTAAATAATATAGATAGGCCCACAATAATAAAAACATGCAGGTTTAAGCAGCTTTTCAGAGTTTTCATTGAATGTTTTCCACAACAGAACGACAGTAAAAGTACCAGTAATATTTTTTAGATCTATTTATGTTTGTTTTTAATTAATTTTCCACTAAAATCAGCATCTCATTGAAAAAATATCCATACTTTTTTGCAATTTTTTTTTTCATAATTCAGAAACAAAACTTTTTTTTAACCATGACAACAAATCTCTTCAAGGTTTTAGGTGACAGAAATAAACATCACATTCTAATCTCTAAAAAGTTCAGATCTAATCTAATAAATTTCTTAGAGTTACTTTTTGCCTCAAATGTCTGAAAATAAGTAATGAAAGCTTCCATTTATTCTCATTATTTCTTCACTGTGCTTTAAGGGCTCAGCGTGTATTTGAAACTGCAGCACCTTGTCTGTGTTAAGAGCCTCCATTGTGTTTATCATGGACCTGTCTAATTACTGGAAACCCTGCTTTTGACCTCTTCACATCAGACTCCGCGCCTAGACATGAAAAAATGACTCAGAAACAACAAAGACCCTGTCGAGTATCTCTGCAAGGCCGGATTATAATATGGGCAAACTGGGCACAGGCCCAGGGGCCCACAGCCACAAGGGGGACCACGCAAGTGTAACACTTCTGGAGTCGTTACAGTATCCTAAGACCAGGTAGGTTTAACTACTAGAGCAGTAATGAAGTAGCCTAGTGAACTAGACCAAATTCTTGCTTTGCAAAGTTTGGTCTAGGCATGCTCCATTGGAACCTCCACAGCTCCTACCAGGACTCTGGCTAGCCAATCACAGCTCTCTAGAGGGGTTTCAAACACATAAAGAGCTGTTATTGGTCCATAATGGTGGGCCAATCATAGTGCTCTATCTGCTTAGTGAACAAATCACAGAGCTTTATCCGCTTTATGGGCCAATCAGGGCTCTCTATATGCCTGGTGGGTGGGATGATGCAACAGAGTGAAACAAGAGTATGTCACATTCATTGTCCAGTGGAATGCGGAGAACATTTGAAAGACAACGGTAGAACCTGCCCCACAACCGAGAGCCTTCAATGGAGCATGGCCAGACTAAATAATACATTTATTTAGTCTGGCTTGCCAGACTAGTAATGAAGGTGACTTGTGTAGCAACATGAATGGCCTCATTTTGTGTCCCAAAGGTCACACTTCACCAGCTAGGTCACACTGTCCTGGCTGAACCTCTGTCCCACAGATTATCCATCACAGGAGCCGTACAGTGTGCTAAAAATCATCTTATCTGTCTGCTGTTCCTCCGCAAGATGAAGGACACTTCAAGATTTTAAATAATAATTTTTAATAAACTATTTGTACTGTTTATTACAAGGTTTATTATAATCATAAATAATCATCATAGTTTAGTATAAATGTATTTAATTACTGAAATGACTAATTATTCTTTGGGTTAATAATAATTATTATTTATGATAATCAGTAATGTTGAACAGTGTGAAGAAGGTCATTTGCACATGTACACATCATACAGAGGGAACTGAATCCAGAGTAAAGTTAACTTGCTCTCACATGTCTTTGCTCCATAACAACAAGCTTTCTGACACTGAGAGGGTGTGTTCTGAGGTTTTGTTAAAACCAAAAACTTTTCAGTTCAACTTCAGTTCTTGAACCAACCAGATACTCTCGTGGCGACGAGTCTCATGAGGATAAGGGTTGGCCGCCTGAAGCCTCCACCTGAGCTGTTCTGTCACACCGATAGAATTGCTCCGAATAAATGCCACCTGTAACAAGCTGACCAAAACTCCTTCAGAGTTATTGATTTTGAGACGCAACTAGTTTCATCAGTCGTTGTAACCCGGAGACATCTCAGGACCGATTTGAGTCGCACCAAGGTCCTTCTACCAACCTCGTGCCCGGAGGATATCATCTCCATCTGACATCTCGCATCCAACAGAGGGTCTCCTGAACTGGGTGAGGTAGACACTTCCGACAGATCGCGTCTGTATGCTGTTCTCTCTAAGAAACAACTTAGTTAGCTGCAAAACAAATTTTTCCACCCAGAACGCATTTCTCTCTCTGAAAGAAATTTTCTGAGATATCATCCATGCATCCAAACACACGCATTCCATTTTAGTTTTCCATTCAGACACAGGTTTGCTTTTAATACCAAGTTTTAACATCAAAGCTGTTATAAATTGTCATTTCTAAAATTGTCATCTTTAAAATTGTTAGCAATAAA